CCGTCGTCGACCATGAGTCTCAGGGCTGGATCGGGTCATTTCCCATCAATCAGTTTTCTTATTCGTGAAAGCCAACTGGCGCTTCACCACAAGGCCCTTCGGAACACAAAGAATACAAGCAACGCAAAGGATCACATTAAATTGATGCACGTGGATCACCCACTGGCAATTTTGGCGGAGACTAGTGCTACCGATAAGTCGAAGGCGGACGCGGAGACCACCGCCCAGGCCGTACTGGACTTGACACATACTTCCAAGAAAGTAGCTACTACTACAGCACCGACAGGAACTACGTCTACTGAGGTTGATCTAGCACTAAGGACCCCTTCAAAAAGGTTCTTTCGCGCGGACGAAAAGACGGTGAACGTGTTGACCTCCAAGTTCCTACTCTCTTAAGGGTTGCGTATACAGTATGTGCGTTTGAAGCTTTTAAAGACGTCATTCGAATGGCTACCGGCAACCCAACCTTCCAAGTATTGGGTCGCGACAGACATGACCGCCTACTCAACGGGCAATTTCAGCTGTTCTGTGGCTTGGTGGGGACATTACTATCTACCGAGTTTGAAAATGCAAGCCAGCTCAAGTTCCTCAATCTGGTGCTCGATATTTGGACCAGTTGTGGGAAAGAGAGTATCGTTGGTGCATCAGTCGCTTTTATCGACAGTTCATGGAGATTTCGGTTTATTGCAGCGCTCGCCTGTGTTAAGAATGACGGTCATAACGCTGCTAGCGTCGCGAAAGTTATCGCAAAACGCGCTCAAAACAAGGTATAACATCGACATTCGCAGGATGACTCGATATACCATGTCCGACACAACTCCTTCAGCAAAAAATGTTGCTGATTATATCGACACGGTGTAGGGGAACTGTTCGATGCATCTTCTCAATCTCTGTATTGGCTATGGTATTGGTCTCAAGGATAATATTCAGACAGTCACTGTGTGGAATGAGTCCACAAGTTCTTGGGACAAAGTAGTAACAACGGTGACTTCTGAGTTGGTTTGGACGAGGGTGGTAATGTGATCAAGAAACTCCGTAACCTGAACAATCACTTCAGGTCGCCTAAACAGCGCGAAGCTTTGAAGAATATCCAAGCAGCCCTCTCATATCCTGAACTAGAACCTCTGACGGACGTGGACGTCCGAGTTGCCAACACGTGCAAACTGATTCGGAGATCCTTAGTCGACTGCTCAGCATTTGAGGCGTACTTCAAGTTCACCAAAGACTCGAGCAGCGTGCGGTCAGCTTTGAGCAGTCAAGACTGGATGCTCGCAGTGGAAATGGAGGCGGTAACCCACTGTATCGCCAACATTGCACTAGTAGAAGCGCAGAGTGAAAACCTCGTTTTGTCGTACATGGTAGTATTCCGACGACTCACCGAGAACAAGCTCAAGTCCTTCAAATTCGACGCAATGGCGATAGAGGCTCCGAGAGCTAAAGATGCGAACGAATCCAGTCACCGTCGCGTTGTGCGAACACTTGACCAGTTCTCGGAAGCTGGTAAGACGTGCCTCAGAAGAACGCTGCTCCAGTTGCAGGCGCGATTACCCAAGGTGACAAGGGAGGTAATAGCTGCGTTTTACTGGACCCTCGAACCAAGTCCAGCGCCAAAAAAATTGCTGTCGTCGGTGATATTCCTCGAAAAGAGGAGAAGGCCATTTACAAGGACGGTATTGACTTCCTGCGTGCAGAACATCGGACGGTTTTCGCTGGAATGGTGAACGCAGAAAAGATCTCTTTATCGCAACAATCGTCTCAAAGCAGC